CAGCTTGGGTGGGGCGGGGTCTCAGGGAATCAACAGGGCGGAGCAAACAGCTATGGCTGATCCTCAGCCCTGCCCTAAGAAGCTCCTGGTCTCCGAGTCCTGGTAATCACTACAAGCAACTCAGAGAGAAAGCCGCCCTCAAGTTCTGACTGATGCCAGACAGTCCAGTTTCTCCCCGTATGAGTCTGGGTCCCCAGACACTCGCCCAGAACTGGAGTTCAGAGCAGTCAGGAGCTTGAGACTCCCTCCCGATTAAAAAAGACAACCATGTCCTCAGTTGCCAGCCCTTTCCGCGTGTGCCTCTGTACCTCTGCACTTTACTTCCACACCTCCTCTGAGTTTCGGTATGCTTTTCTCTTTCCTTCTAGTTGTAGAATTTCCACTCAGCCAGCCTTCCGGTGGCTCTGGATGATGTCCGTTTTGCCTTTTAGTTGTATTTTTGAAGTGGTTGTGCAACACAGCAATTTCAGGTGTTTACCTATGCTGCCATCTTGGTTTCTCTCCCCCAACTCTCTTGCAGCTACTGTCCTAGTTCAGGTTTTTCTCATCTCCTACCTACTAGCCTCCATAATGGTTGCTTTGGCTCTGATTTCCTGGGCTTAATAATTCCTACACACTGCAATATCTGTTCTAAAATACACACGTGATCATAGTGCACCTACCCCCTAGGAGACTAAGAAAAGTTGGTCTTTTCTCTTTCTCTAAAGTACATGGAGACTTCAAGTGATTACCAATGTTTGCCACGCTAGACCAGAATGACACCCAAAATAACAAAGAAACTCTTGGGATTCTAAAAGTTTCACAGTTCTGACCACACCTGACTTCCTCTGAGAGGCCACTCCCATCCATCCTTAAGCCTCCCTCTGCCTAGAGAGAGGGTGTGTGTTTAAGGGAAAGAAGGAGGAACCAGTAAGCTGGCTCCGTCATAACGCCTATTAGGAACTTGGTAATACACCATAGAACAGACCCAGAATCTAAGTGCATAGTTATGTGAGGACATCTGCACATATAGTTTGAGACACTATGCGTGGTACTCTCTAATTTACCACACACACACACACACACACACACACACACACCACGCACCCCCCCCCCCCAACACACACATCTTCTAGCACATCAAGGTTTAACAAATTTGGCAAGCCCAGACTAAATAATCATAGACCCAATTTATTTAATTAATAAATTTGGTGGGTTTTTTTTAGTGGATACTTATAAAGTAAAGCTTTACTCACATTGGCTTGTAACATTTCAATGAACTGCACACCTAAGTTGTGTGTGCTTATGCAGTCAGTCCTTGACCACCCACAAATGCATTATTTGCTTTGACTCTAAATGATGCCTTCAATCCAGTCAACAAGGTTTGAAGTGTTTATACACGAAAGCTCTCTGACCATAGAAACAACACTAGTATCTAGCAAAATGCTTGCGATGTGATAACTACCTAAAGATTGAATAAAGGAATGAATAAACACATACACTTAATCATCTCTTCATTAATCATAGTGAATGTAGACCAAATAGGGCAAAGAAGTCATATTTTAATTATACTGAAATAGGATTCTGCTCCTCCTCAGCATGAAGGAAAAATTGAGAGAAGACCTATTAGGGGAAAGATGATAAAGCTGGTAGTCTAATAATATCATCTTTAAATATAGCTCCACCTTTTTATTGAAGGGCTACATTCTATTTCCTATAAATTAGCAAACTACAGTGCATAGGCCAAATGTGGCCTACCACCTACTTTTTTAAATACAATTTTTGTTGGAACATAACAATGTTCTTCATTTATTTCTTGTCTATGGCAGCTTTCATGCTATAATAGCTGATTTGAGTTGTTTAAAGAGACCATATGACCTACAAGACTAAACTGTTTCCTACCTGAAAAATTTTGCCAACATCTGTCCTAGAATATCATATATACCCATATTCCAAATTTAAATAATGTCCAAAATAAAATATGACTGAAGCTGCTATTACTGATTTGTGTATTACTTCCCACCTTAGTAATAATCTAAAATTGATTAAATAATGATAAGTTAAGTGAATAGTAATGCTGAATTAATGAATAATATTTACTATATTATTCAGTTTCACTTTTACACATTTTTTAGAATATATAAAGATAATTGAGAGAGAGGAGTTTGGACTATCAATAAAATCATCAAAATTTGTTATATATTTGAACTATTTTTCCCTGGGAATTTTTATCTAATTATCTAGTGAGGAAAAAAAAAATCCTCCTCAAGACAGAATGGTCTAGAGCAGTGGTTCTCAACCTTCTGGCCCTTTAAATACAGTTCCTCATGTTGTGATCCAACCATAAAATTATTTTTGTTGCTACTTCATAACTGTAATGTTGCTACTGTTATGAATTGTAATGTAAATATCTGATATGCAGGATGGTCTTAGGCGACCCCTGTGAAAGGGTCGTTTGACGGCCAAAGGGGTCGCGACCCACAGGTTGAGAACCGATGGTCTAGAGTAAATCATTCACTAGAATGAACTAGAGACTATCTAAAATATCTTCTTTACTACCAGTCACAACAAGAGGAACTCATAAGACACACTATACATTATATATTACTAGAGACCCGGTACACAAAATTCGTGCATGAGCGGGGGTCCCCTCAGCCCAGCCTGCACCCTTTCCAATCCGGGACCCCTTGGGGAATGTCCAACTGCTGGTTTAGGCCTGATCCCAATCAAACATCCCTCTCACAATCCTGGACCACTGGCTCCTAACCGCTCACGTGCCTGCCTGCCTATCACCCCTAACTGCCCCCCCTGCCAGCCTGATCACCCCTAACCACCTCTGCCTGCTGGCCTGATCGCCCCTCACTGCTCACCCCCTGCCGGCCTGATCGCCCCCAACTGCCCCCCCACTGGTGGCCTAGTTGCCTCCAACTGCCCCCCTGCTGGCCTGGTTGCCCTTGCAGCCTGCTGCTCGGTCATTTGGTTGTCCCTCACTAACCCCCTGCTGACCTGGTCTCCCTACGAAGCCTATTCGGCCGTCTGTTCAATCATGACGGTCGCGACAGTTGCGACGGTCACTTAAGCTTTTTATAGATATTTACATTTACATACTATTGTATTGCAAACTCAGTGTATTGTTTCTTACTATGTAGCCACAAAACACATTGTTAGGAGTGGGGCTGGGAGGTGTGGAAGAGGCCTGTCATTTCTCTATATAATCAGGCATACAAGTTAGACATGTATCTCAAGTATCTGGGTTCTCTTGTAACAGCCCATTATGGGTTTGTCATGCACAAATTTATATTAACCCAACCTTTTCCATTTTATATTTTCACATGATTTTACTTCTAGAGAAAGGAGGATTCTCTAAGTTTACCATTTGTAAAGCATCTGGTCAGGGTATTTGCTCAAAAAAGACCTATTTTTTCAGGCATTGTCCACAGTAGCTTGTTATTCATCTCCTTCACTAGACTTGGTTCTGAATGAACCAGTAGTTCTTTAAACTTACTGTCACCCACAAAAGACAGTGATTGACATCATGGGACCATGGAGAGGCAATGCCCAAAAAGAAACTGCCAAAGCCCTGAGGGCAGTTCCTAAGAAGGACAAATATTAGTGCTTTCAAGGATAACAACATTATTATAATAACTTCCTAAGATGACTATTTGATGAATAGCAATTATATGGACTCTAAATTTTAGAATGTTTATTTAAAAAAATAAAATTAATCTAGTAACATAGTCATACCTTATACAGTGAGTGACCTTAATATGTCACCATAACATTTTATTTGCATGTCTAAAAATACTACAAAAAATACAGTCAAAGTCGATATGCACAATTCTAAACTGTATCTGGCTGAGTTATTTTCCTTTTAGGTTCTCCACAGTAGAACCTTCCCAGGACGTGACTTACATTTTTGCCAGTTGAAGATCTGTGATACTGTTAAGTTTCCATACTTGACAAGACATATGAAGGTGTGGTTGTTTGTCACATTGAAGTCCAGTTCACTGCTAATAGTGTAGAGCTCAGTTTGAGGGTCTTGGGAAACTGTTGTGTTGATGGCATTTAATTCTTTTCCCTTTTCCAACCAGGAGAGGTGAGGCTTTGGAAAACCTCCAGAGGTTGAACAAATTATTCTTTTGATGTTTGTAGCTGGGTTTCCAAGCTCAGTTATACTTGGGACAGGAAAGTCAGCTAAAGAAAGAGCAAGAATATAAGTATATACCATTATATCTGTGTGTGTATGTGTTATATATATATATATATTTTTTCTTCGGGAGGTGTTATATTTTTAATAAAGTATCTAGCTTTAATAAGAATGCAGCCCTAGCCAGTTTGGCTCAGTGGATACAGTGTCGGCCTGCAGACTGAAGGGTCTCATGTTTGATTCCGGCCTAGGGCACATACCCGGGTTGCGAGCTTGAGCCCCAGTGTGGGGCGTACAGGAGGCAGCCAATCAATGATTCTCTCTCATCATTGATGTTTCTATCTCTTTCTCCCTCTCCCTTCCTCTCTGAAATCAATAAAAATATATTAAAAAAATAAGAATGCAAAAATTAGATATAATTTGCAGCTTCCCATAAGTCAGTAGTTATGTATAATCCAAAGACTGACTTTGGAATTCTTCATTACTTTTTTAAAAAACTTTTATTATTATTATTATTTTAATCCTCACCCAATGATATTTTTCCATTGATTTTTAGGGAGAGTGGAAGAGAGAGGGAAAGACAGAGAAATATTGATGTGAAACACATCGATTGGTTGCCTCCGACTAGGGCCAGGGCCCGAGGATCCTGCAACCAAGGTACATGCCCTTGCCCGGAATCAAACCCAGGACCCTTTGTTCTACAGGCTGATGCTCTATCCACTGAGCCAAACAGGCTAGGGCTCTTCATCACTTTTGATAGAGGTAGAAGGGAAGTTATTAGAGAAAAGAGAAGTAGCTTCATGTGAAAAAATATTGACACATTTGTAAGAATTGAAGAGAAAAATAACACAACATTTAGTGAGCTCTTAATGCTTGTTCAGTCTGGACTTTTATCATTTCGTCTTTACAACAACCCTGGGAGGTAGATTGTAGCAAAAAAAAAGATTAAATATTACTAATTTCATATGATTTAATTTAATACAATTTCCATTTTATAAATAATGAAGTTGAGGTCTAATCATAACCAGTAAGTGGCAGAACTGGTATTTGAATCCAAGTTTTTCAGGTACCAGAGCCTTCCCTTTCCTTGTCTTCCTTTCTTGTACTTTGTTTCCTTTCCTTTCATCCTGACTTTTAAGGCCACAAAGTAGCTCTCTTTTACTTGTCTGTTTATTAGTTAATATTGTAGTGAACACCTATGAACCCACCATCCAACTTGAGAACCAGCACACTGACAGTAACTTATGTAAATACTAGAGGCCTGGAGAAACCAAGATGGCGGCATAGGTAAACACTGGAAATTGCTGCCTCCGACAACAACTTCAAAAATACAACGAGAAGGAACAGCAGCCTCCTGATCACCACACCCTCTGTCTGAGGAACAGCAGCTCTGTGTGAAGCCTCCCCCCACCAGCCAGAGGAGCCACCACAGCGGTGAACAGCACCCACCACAGGAACTGCTGCCAACTGAGGAGCAAATGCTACCACAACCGCCCGGGGAGCAACCGCAGCCCGAGGAGCCACTGCCACCCAGGGAGCAGCCACTGAACGACTCAACATCTAGATCTGTTGGTGAGATCAAACATGGGTAGACAAAGAAACCCCCAAAGGAAAGAAAAGGAGGACTCGCCAGAAAAGCAGCTAAGTGAAACCGAGGCATGCAGCATGACAGAAAAAGAATTCAGATTAAGGGTCCTAGAATGCTCAAAGTCACTAATCATCCGAGAGACGCAAATCAAAACGACAATGAGGTACCATCTCACACCTGTCAGAATGGCAATCATCAACAAATCAACAAATGACAAATGCTGGCGAGGATGTGGAGAAAAAGGAACACTCGTGCACTGCTGGTGGGAATGCAAACTGGTGCAGCCACTGTGGAGAACAGTGTGGAGTTTCCTCAAAAAACTAAAAATGGAACTCCCATTTGACCCAGTGATCCCACTTCTAGGAATATATCCCAAGAAACCAGAAACACCAATCAGAAAGGATATATGCACCCCTATGTTCATAGCAGCACAATTTACAATAGCTA